TGCTCCTTGCAGCACTATCCATAAAACCAAGATATGGAAACACCATATGTGTCCATCAACAGATGGATGAATAAGAAAATGTGTGTATGTGTGTCGGAATATTATGTTTGCAAGGAAGTAAATCCTGGTGTTTATGATAACATAGATGAACCTGGAAGGCATGCTAAGTGAAATAAGCCAGACAGCACAGGACAGCTCCTGATTGCATGATTTCACTCTGCAGCTAGAGTCTAAAGAAAGCAAACACAGTGGAAGTGTGGAAATAGAGGTGCTTGGTGGGAGGAAGAGGTTAGGTAATTTTTTTTGGGGGGGGGGTCAAAAGAACAAGCTCAGTTTCAGTAAGTTCTGGATGTTGAATGTACAGCATTGTCACTATAATTGATAATGCATACTTTGAACATGTTAAGAGAATTGATCTTCATCTTCTCACATACACAAGAGGAGCTGAGGGGCCGGATATGATAATTAACTTGATTGTGGTAATCATATATCAAAATAACATACTGCATACCTCAAATATACATCTTTTGTTAACAATTATGGCATCATTAAGTGATAGATAAGAAAGATTTTAAGAATCCTCTCTTGAGAACTTCTACTTTCCATATTAACTCCCCAGAAATATCCCTAACTCAATTTCCCCTAATGTCTAGGGGTGACCCAGAAATGTCCCTAACTCAATTTCCCCTAATATCTAAGGGTGCCTCATTCTGCTGCTCCTATGCCAGAACCCAGTGTTTAAATTACTCACAAGCAAGAAGTAGTGTAACATTTCAGAATTAAATGGCAGTCAGCAAGTAACAATGTCTCCGAAATATCCCCAGTGCAGTCCTCAGTGGCACACTGACATTCATATATAGGGAAGAGAGCTGTGCCGCATGTATGCAGAATGGCCAGGAGATGAACTGAGAGAGACACGGGTCTCAGCTTAGGGCTAAGGATTTTTTGAGTGCCTTGCATGTTCTTTTAAGTGGTCTGCCCTTCTATATCTTCATCTACAAAATGAGAGTGGAAATAGATGTTTCTGAACACCCGGAACTAATGACTCCTCTTGTTCTTTGAGGATTTGCTGGTCTTAAGACAGTCAGGAACCAAGAGTATTATCTTTTTCATGAATCCCTGATAGGGAATCACACAGTGTGGAAGCATTCATTAAAATACTACACTACTTTAAAAAACACAAAACTCAGAATAACAACAGCACAAATAAAATCAGACAATGTAATATTGAAAGAATATCACCTATGCAAGGAAGAATTGGCAGAAAAAAAAGTTGATTTCTGATTTAAAAGAACTATAGAAAAAGAATTGTCAATTCCAACAAAATGATCTACCCTCATGCCTGAAACAGCAGCAGACCATGCTAACCACATGGAACAACACTGATAAAGAGTTTGAAGCAAAGTGCTGTGGAACAGAAATACACAAGGCAACTCAGTACCTTATAAGCCTGTCTTAGGGTTTCCATTGCTGTGAAGAGACACCGTGACTAGGGCCACGCTTATAAGAAACAAACAAACAAAAACCATTTAATTGGGGCTGGCTTACCGTTTCAGAGGTTTAGTCCATTATCACCATGACAGAAAGTATGGCAGCACGCAGGCAGATAAGGTGCTGGAGAAGGAGCTGAGAGTTCTACATCTTGATCTGAAGGCAGTCAGGAGGAGACTGATTCATTCGGCATAGTTTGAGCTTAGGAGAACTGGAAGCCTGTCCCCACAGTGACATAGTTCCTTCAATGTCATACATACCTCCAATAAAGCCACGACTCCTAATAGTGCCACTCCTTATAGCCACATATGTAAACACATGAGTCTATAGGGCCAAACCTATTCAAACCACCACCACACCATTTTATTAGTCAAGTGATTTACTTTACATCCTGACTAGTTTCCCTTCCCTCCTCTCCTCCCAGTCTTTCCTTCTCATCCTGCCTTTATCCACTCCTCAGTTTCTCTTCAGAAAAGGGGAGGCGTCCCATGGCTATGAACCAGCCCTGGCATATCAAATTGAAGTAAGACTAGACACATCTTTTCCTATTGAGGCTAGGGAATTGGAAAAGATCATCCTGAGTAAGATAACCCAGACCCAGTAAGACAGACAAACATGATATGCATTCATTTATAAGAGGATATTAGCTGTAAAGTAAAAGATAACCATGCTACAATCCACAGACCCAAAGAAGCTAAGTATCAAGGGGGATTAAAGGGGAATGTGTGAGCTTCATTAAAAGGGGGAAATAGAATAGATATCATTGGTAGATGGGGGAAGGAGAGTGGATGAGAGTGAGGATGGAGATAGAACAGGAGGCATCAGAATTGAGGAAGATGGAGAGTACTGGGAGACACAACTGGAATGGGAGAGGTGCAGCTCTAGAATGAACTAGAAACCTAGAGCAATACAAATTCCCAGGAATCTTTGAGGGTTACCCTAGCTAAGATTTTTAACAATGGGAAATTTAGAGCCTGAAATGGCCATCTTCTTTAACAAGTCAAGACTTCCAATGAAGGGATTGTGACACCAACTCAGCCACAAAACCTTTGACCTACACTTTGTCCTGCCTACAAGATGTGCTGTAGTAAAGATGGAACAGAAATTGAGGGAATGGCCAACCAATGAGTGGCCCAGCTCGTATCCCATGCCATGAGAGGAAGCCCAACCCTGAGACTGTTAGTGATATTCTGCTACACTTGCAGACAGGAGCCTAGCTTAACCATGCTCAGAAGGGTTTGACCTAGCAACTGATGGAAATAGGGTGCAGAGACTCACAGTCAAACATTAAGTAGGGCTTGGGAAACCCTTTGGAGGAGGTGGAAGAAGGATTGTAAGAGCCAGGCGTCAAGGAAACAACAAGAAAACCTACAGAATCAAATAACCTGGACCCACAGGGGCTCACAGAGACTGGACCACCAGCCAGCGAGCATGTATAAGCCATTTTTAAAAGGAACAGAAATTCCACAGGCAGGAATCAAAGGAGATGAACTCTGTGATTTCCCCAGCTTACTTTCTTGAAAGAGTTTCATTGCCATCATGAAGGAAGCAGGAACTCTCTGAGGTCAAGTCTCTGAATTGAACAGACAGTTGATTCCAGAAGAGTAACTAGGGTTTTCAAGACAGAGTACTGTATAATGGAGAGCTATACAGAGAGAGAACTTTAGAAAGCTACAGAAGGATACAGAGGGACTTAAATCATCCATAAAGTAGAGATCACTGTACGTATGTGGAAAGTACCAGAAATTGTGGAAAGAACTACCCAAAAGGACTAGTGGGAATATTACTTGGGGCTCAGGTATAGATATCATCCTTGTTTCCACTAGCCAGGCTAGTACAGGATTCAAGGAGCTTTCCTCCCTGGTATTGAATAATTACCTCTAGAAGAATCATAGCTTTGGTCACCCTAAAAAGATCTTAAAGACTTACAAGTGTGAAATTGTTTTGAAGTCGTTAAAATGCACTTCAGAGCAAACCTCAAGAGTTTCTATAGGGAAACAAAACTGTCTAGTACTGAAAAAGGCAAAATTTAAAATGTCTGGCACCTAATAAAAAGATGATCAGGTATGCAAAGACTTGCAAAAAATAATCCCATAGTGAAAAGAAAAAAGCAATCGATCAAATTGACCCAGGAGTTAAAACAGATGGTTAACTATAATTTTATTTGTCCAGATTTGATGAAAACTCTAAACCCAGAGTAAATTGAAAAAAATCAGAATCACAAGACAGAAGAAAAGTACACTAAACAATATCTTAAAGAACTTACTGAAAACTTCTGAGGAAGAGGGAAATGTAAAAGCCAGAAGAGAACGAATAGATTACATAAAGGAAACGGGTAAAGATGTCCATAAACTTCTCTTCAAGTGGGGAAAAGTATTATGCAGGAAGAGTGTGCAATAACATTTTTATTGTAATTAAAGAAGGCAACAATCCTGTGATTAAAGACGCACAATCTAAGTAAGTCCTAAACTAGCTAACAAAACTCAAAAGGTATAATTAGTAATTCAATAAGTGGGCTTGATTAAATTGTGGAATATTCAAACTGATGGTGGGGGAAAACTAAGAAACAAATGAACCTATCTAAAGTGTATAAATTGATAAGTGGTGATGTGCATATACACACATGTAGTTGTCACAATCAACATCTATCATGTCTACTCTCAAATCTCCTCAAAGAAGCAGGCATTTTCTATATATGAATTCTCAAAAACTACAAACAAACAAATGAATAATCTGAAACAGAAATTTTAAAAATCTCACTTACAGTTAAATTATTTTTAAATATATATATATATATATGTGTGTGTGTGTGTGTGTGTGTGTGTGTGTGTGTGTGTGAGTATGTATCATAACTGTCTTCAGTCACACCAGAAGAGGGCATCAGATCCCATTACAAATGGTTGTGAGCCACCATGTGGTTGCTGGGAATTGAACTCAGGACCTCTGGAAGAGCTGTCAGTGCTCTTAACAGCTGAGCCATCTCTCCAGCCCTACAATTAAATTCTTAATGATAAAAATGACAAAAGAGTACCAAACCTATAAGCTGAAAACTAAAAAAAAAATTATTGCTGACAAATTACTGAAAATCAAAATAGATATACATATATATCATGTTAATTGTTCAGAAGACTCAACAGTGATGAGATCTTAGTTCCTATAAACTGACAAATTCAATATAGCCTCAATAAAAACTCTGGAAGGCTTATTGTATCTTATAAAATTTGTATGTATGATATTAAAACTCATATGGAAATGTAAAAGAATCACCATAGCCAAAATAATTCTAAGAAAAGACTTGGAAGTCTAAATAACAGAGCAACAGAGCTATCAGATGGTTGAGTTTTCACAAAGGTTCAAAAGCAAAGGAACAAATTACAACATTGAAAAATGTGGAAAGGTTTGACTGGCTACATACTCAAAGAAATTGTAGTCACGCTTTCATAAAAATTAATTACACATTTAATGTAAAACCTAAAAACTATAATCTCCCTATGGGGAGCCAAGGGAGCCTTGAGTGACTCTATAAGGCGTGGATGAAGTTCTGGGTGAGTGTGTGTTATTGACAAGGACCAATATACCTAGGATCTATGGAGACTGGGAAAACTTCCCTTCCTATGAGTTTCAGAGGCAGAGCAAAACCTTTCACTAATCCAAACACAGGTGTTTGCAAATGACTGACCAGTGTGTACACAATTGCAACTTCCTCCTTCTGGAGGATCGCATCCTAAGACTGCTTTCCTACAGAGATCTCCTACAAGACTAGTTAGCCCCTTCTCATGCTGTATATGGTAAATGCCCTGTGGCTCTGGGTTGTTTCATAGTATTGATCCATCAGAGCGAGGACAACACACCTGACCCCTTCTGTATGTGTATCTGTCCTTTCTTCATTGTTTCATCTCCCTAGTCAAATTTCCAGGACCAAGCCATGCTGGAGGTGGCAAAATTCTAGAAAAAAAAGAAAAAGGACCACATGTCACACAAGGATTTCTTAGGTAAGACATCAATAAGAGAATGAAAAGACAAGCAAAAGATTGGAATAAAGTCTTTGAAAATAATGTATCTAGTAAATGATTTGTGTCTTGAATGCATTTTAGAAGCTCTCAAAGAAATCAATCCTAATAACGTGGGCAAAATAGTTGAACAGATATTTCTCTAAATAAGATACACACAACCACTGCTAAATAAGTACATAAGACTGTGTTTGATAACATTGATCATTAGGAAAATGGAGAGTCAAATCATAATTGTTTAATAGTTAACAGTAAATCATAATTAACTTATGTATTTATGGCAATGACCAAAATTAAAATGATTTACTATATAAATGCTGATTACCATACCACTTGATATGCCTATATATTGTAGATAGAATTATCTATTGGTAAGTAAATGGGTGACTAGATTGTAAAATACTTATACATTGGAAAATAAAATGTGAATAACAACCAATCCACAAAGGAACCCAGGTGGCTATCACAAGACCAAGTGAAAGAAACCAGCCAAAAAAAATGTATTATAGGATTCCATTTATATAAAACAATGGGAAGTACAAATCCCTTCATAGCAAGGAAAATCAGATTAAAGGTTGCCTGGGTGCTGGGCTGGTGATAAAGAGTGATGAAAAAGAATGAGATTTGGGAGTAGACATTGCAGATGTCTACTGTCATGATCATATTTGTGATGGTTTTAGTGTATATACGCATTATCACTTCTCAATTTATACACTTTAGGTAGGTGCTTTTAGTGAATGTGAAATATGTATGTGCTACTCAAGAGAAATGCAACATCTCTTCTCTAAAAAAAGTTAAAAAGTTCACAACAGCATTTTCCATAATAGCCTCACTGGACAACAACAGGGGGACAGAGCCATTACAAAGTCCCCTTCAATTACTGGAGGTCAGATCTCTATCCCTGCATTCACAAGATTAGAATTGCCACAGCCCTTCTATACTTAGAGAAGGGAGGAGATGTCAGGGGCAGCCCTGCTTACACACTGAAGGCCTAAAATCAGCCATAGGCTTAAAATCAGCAATAGGCCTGTCATACATGTATACTAACACCAAGTCTTGGGTCTCAGTGGAAAAACATTAAAACAGATAGCTATAAGCTAATGTCAACAGGCAGCTTTTGTGGAAATTTACCAGCCTGAGTAGTCATAGACCTTGTAAATAGGTAGCCTTGGCAGACAATACCAACTTAAATAAGGACAAGTGAGTCATAGGCAGAGTCACAGTGACCTGTCCCCTGAACCTTCACCCAGCCGATACCCGGTTCTGAAAGATATCTGTATTCCCCCCGAACACCCACGCTCCAGTGTCATCCCCTTCCCCACATCCTGCCTTTCTGTGTTTATAACCCCTGTGTGAATGAATTACGATTTGAGAAAAAATAAATAAATTATTGAAAAAATAAAAATAATAATAAAAAATATTTCCACCTTAAAAAAAAAAAAAGAACAGCTGCATGCTTTTCCTGGCTACATGGTTGCCAGCTCAAGTCAGTGAAGGAATGGAACGCCTTTCTTTCAAATCTTTTTATTAGTATAAAATACATTGTCTTGTTACATACAGTTTCTATACCTGTAAAGAGAAACCATGACCAAGGCAACTCTTATAATGGAAAATATTTAATTGGGGCTGGCAGAGGTTTAGTCCATTATCATCATGGCAGGAAGAAGCATGGTAACATACAGGCAAACATGGAAGAAGAGCTGGAGAAGAGCTCAGAGCTCTACATCTTGATCCACAGGCAGCAGGAGACTGTGACACACCAGTCAAGGCTTGAGCTTTTGAGATTTCAAAGCTCACCCCTTTGATGCGCATCTCCCAACAAAGCCACACCTACTCCAACAAAGCCCCACCTCCTCCAGCAAAGGCACAAGTCTTAATAGTGCCACTCCCCATGAGCCTATGAAAGCAATTTTATTCAAAGCACAGACATATAGGAATTATTTATAAATTATAAATATGTTGGCAAAATTTCACAAACAACACCACCTACAAACTTTGACAAAGGCCAAAAATGGAGTAATTACACATTCCCAGAAACTCTCCAGTTTTTAGAACAAAATGCTTTTTGAACAGTGTTAAGTGTATTCATATGGTTGTGAAACAGAATGCTGCAAGTTTTTCATCTTGGGGACCTGAAACTCTGTCCCCATTAGCCAAGTCCCTATGCTCCCCTCTCTGGAGTCCCTGTAAAGTATCACTTCACTCGCTGTCCCTAGGAATTTGATTAGAGATCTTATGTAAGTAAAATCATGTGCCTTGTGGACTTATTTCACTAGGTGTAATTCCCTCCAGGATGTTTATCTGTGTCTGTGTCGTCATAGACACAAGGTTTCCTCTTGCGTTAAATCCCACTGACATTCCACACTGTTTTCATTTTGATACATTTTGCTTGTTCAGGGGCATTATACCTGTTGACTATTGTGAATTATGCTGCTATGAACATAAACATGTCTTCTACCAGGAACAAGAGCAAAATTTGTTGGTCCTAATGTCTGCAAGTGTTTTCAAAGTATTTGTAAGTATCACTTAATCTTCACATCAAGGATATGAATTAAGGAGTGTTTTTCTTCCCATTTTACAGATTAATAAACCAAGAAGCAGGCCACTTTCCATGAGGTTGCACCAGTGGAGCTGGTGCCACTGAGTCAGTAGGAGCAGCAACGGACTCTTCACTTGATCTTAGCCAAAAGGCGGAGAAGCAATAGCAATGGACTCTTACCCAGCATGCCCTGCTGCCTCATTTTTATTTTCTAAAAGGGACTCCTATGCAGTACTGCTCATGCATGCACTCAAAAATGTTTAGGTTACCCCATTACAGTTCCCCTTAATTAAAAACATGAATATTCCCCCTTAAAACCTCAAATTCCACTCAGTGTTGAATATTCCCCCTTAAAACCTCAAATTCCACTCAGTGTTGACTCATTTACAAAGTTGACTCATGCAAAGACCGAAAGCATGTTTATTAAACACTCAAGCTTCGAAATTCCTTTTCTTTTTCTGGATAAGCATTTCAGATACACTGTACCTTGGAAAGAAGAAATCAAAATTAACTTCATGTACTCCATTCTATAAAAAGTTATTAGCAATTAGTACAGACTTAAGGGGAGGGGAGTAATTAGCCTTCTTGCTCTGAAAATTAATGGGTCTCTTTCATTATACCCCTAAGGGATATTTTACCCAATAACATTCCATTTCAGATTAATGTAAAACGAAAAGTACATCATTTGAGAATGCTGCTTACATAAGGATTACAAATTGCAAATCTCGCCAAGATTAACAGAGAAGGAAGATCAAGCCCAATAACACACCATTAATAATTTTAGACAGGATGAAAGTAATGAAATCAGTGTGTCAATCATTTCATCAGAATCAAGAAACCATAATGTGTTTTGAAAGCATGGCCAAGCTTGTGTAAAGAGAGAATTGATGTCGTTCTTTATAGATTAAGCTAAGCTTTTACCAATGAGTTGATATGGACAGGTGACCAAATAAATGGAATGTATCCCATAAATTCCTGCTTCAAAATGAAAAAAAAATCTGGTCACAAAAACATTTTTTTTCTTTTCTAGGGAAAATTAGTTTCACTTTTTCTGAACAAAAGGCAAGAAAAGCATTCAAGGAAGCTCAAGTTACATGACAACCACTCCAAGTGAACCGCTAGGGGGCAGAAACAAACCTGCCTACCAGGTTACTGGGAGAATCCATTCATGATCAGTGGCTGCAGACTGACTGCTATAATTGTCTCCACAAAATTCAAACAGACTTTGTATCTTATTTCCTCTGGAGGAAAAATAAAAAAACAAAAACAAAAACAAAAACAAAACAGGATCCAGCTTTGGAGTGTGGGTGGAGGGAGGTCAGTAAGTAAAATGCTTGCTGTGCAAGAGTGAATTCAAAGCCCCAGGACCCGAGTAAATCTGGGCATGAAAGAGCACATCTACAACTCTAGGACTGCTTCAGTGAGATGGGAGGCAGAGACAGGAAAATCCCCAGAAGTTTGCAGACCAGCTACCCTGGTGCATGCTGGAGCAAACAACACGTGAGCCTGTCTCAGACAAGATGGGAAAGTGACTAGTGATGCAGGAATTTGTCCTATGATCACACATACGCTCTGACACATGCTTAACTATACTCATAGACATGAGCAAGCATACATACACACATATATCATAGACTTACACAAGACACACACATGTGCACCTACATGCGCATGTGTACACACACTAACACACGCAAACACAAAATGAAAATAAAACCCAGGAGTCAAGTTATAATTGATCATTTTCTAGTACCTGATAGTTTGCTTAAGTAACCATTGGCAAGAGATATTTGCCCAAGAGCCTCAGCAGATGTAATGTGAAGACACATAATTCTAGCTTACCTTCTGTTCCTCCCACCTCCGGTTTTATATTCTTCTTCATCCTGATTGTAATACTACCATCTTTTTAAAGCCGGTCATTGTTGGCTTACTCTTTTAGCTCCCTGTGCCACTGGGAGACTTTGGATCTGGTTGCAGAACTAATATGCAAGTGAACCTTACTTTCTAAGGGATCCCATTGCCACATTTAACCTATATCATGTCATTCCCTGACAAGTATAGAGTCCAGTTCTCCCACTCAAGGGCATACTAATATTCAGCTACTAAATTCAGATCAAGCCTCTGAATTCTTTGTCTTAGCCAACTGAGAATGACTAAGATATTTTTAAGTGACTACAAATGCCAGTGTAGATGTTGAGAAAGGGGAACACTAGTCACTGTTAGTGGGAGTGTAAATTGATACAGCCACTATGGAAATCGGTGTGAAAGTCTATCAAGAAATGGGAGCTCTTATTCACTGTCAGTGGGAGTGTAAATTGATATGGCTACAGTAGAAATCAGTGTGAACGTCCCTCACGAAGAAAAAAACAATTAGAAACAGTTCTGCCATATGATCTTGTACCACTCCTGGATAGATTCCCAAAGGACTTGCCTATCCTATCGCAGAGATACCTGCTCATACTGCACTTCCATTCGCTATAATTAGCAAATACAAGTAGCTCAGATGTCTACCTGCTGATGGATAAATAAAAATATGACACATTTATACAACTAGAATATTATTTGTGCTGGAAAGATCAATGCAATCATGTAATTCACAAGTTAACAGATGAAAGAAACTAGGAAATATTATACTCAGTGAGGTTACCCAGGCTCAGAAAGACAGACCCTTCACATTCTCACTCATATGTGGAGATTAGATTTGAATCTTTATATGTGTGTATATATATATATATATATATATATATATGTTTAAGTAGGAGTATGCATAGGAGTCAGGAAACTAGTAAGGGGCAGGGTGGGGATTTAATTGGAAGGGAGATAGAACACAGGTTGTATAGGGGGAGAAAAGGGAATAATAAACCCAAAAGGGTTAAATGTAGTGGGGAGGATAGGAGAGAAAAGTAAAGGAAAGAGTAAAGGAGGGATAACTAACACTAAAAACCTTTGAAATGCCATATGGAAACCTACTGTAGAAATTTCCATATGTATACGTGTATGTGCATGTATATTATGTATATGATGTGTATGTACATGTGTATGTATATATGTGTGTACATACATATATACACATATATGCACATATATGTGACACTTATACTCATATATTTATATGTACACATATATACACATATTTATATATATATTTATATATGTACATATAGATATGTTTATAAAAGTTTATATGAAAGTATCTCATAACAAGGGAGGGGGACAATTCCTCTCCTAGACTTCATTGTCTATTAAATAAAAATCCCAGTACCAGGAACGGGTTACCTCTTTTAGAGTTGATGGTCAGTGGAGTCCTGCAGACTCACAGATATCATAGGCTATTATTTCCAGTGTTCTTGGCTACCCTTCATAATTTGACAGTAAGACTCCATTGCCAAAGATATCACATACTCAAGTCACGGGACATGGAGAAATTAAGATGGTACAGATCTAAAAACTTGTAGGCTAGCTAAGATGGATCTGGGAGAGACTATGCACACTACTGGGAAGGAGAGTAACCAACATATCTCCCATCTCTCAATCCTTTGAGCGATGACAATGATGGGTCCAACAAAACTTGCCCATTGGTACAATAGTTGGACAAATGTTAGGAAAGGATTGAAGCTCCTTCTGATTGGACTTAAGCTTCCAAGATGAAACTCATGTTTGGTAGCAAATCCTGTGGCTAGCTAGACCATAGGCCCTAGAGAACAACTTACTACTATTATTCTGCTCAATGAACATAGTGATAAACTGAACCGTAAGTTCTCATCTGTATACCCATAGATTAATGCATCTCCCATCTTTCAACAGAGAAGCTTCTTTTTGCAGAAAATGGTGATTAATAAAGTGACCCACAGTTGGTCAAGGTGCAAAGAATAAGAGACTGTGGTTTACTTAGTTCCAGATGGGATATCAATATCATATCCTTGCCCTTCAAAGCTCATCATGTAGTAAGGTGGGGCAGAACGAGTATAAGAGCCAAAGATTGTTTCTATCTTCAGTGAAACAGTTTTTACTAGGCACAACAGAGCCATTGCACGCATGATCTCACAGCAGCAGTGACTACATACCAGGAGACTTACAACAAATTAGGACGGCCAAAATCCCAGCGTGGATGGGTGATGGCTCACAAAATTCCACTCCTAGGTAGCTGAGGAGCTATTGTCAATTGATGGCTGCTGAGAAAAAAGGAATCCGTTTTCCACAGGGATGCAGCCCCTGAGACACTACCAATACTCTAGTAGGTGGTCCTATGCCCAAGCCCATAGAAGCAGCACTAAGTGGACTCTGTGGGGTTTTAGAAAAGCACATAAAGTTGGAAGGGAAAAGTAGTTGAGAGAATAAGGGAGGAATTTCAGGGGAAGCAATGGGTAGTAGATCTGATCAAAACACATCATATGGATCTATGATATTCTCAATGATGATATAAAACTTTAAAAGATCAGACTCAATGACAAGCACAAGACATCAATGATGGCATTAGTACCAATTTCTAAAATTTTTATTCTAAGTAAACCTACAACAATGTACAATAATGTATGTTTTTTATAAAGTATTATGAACAGAAGCCATATTATGAAACATTCCATCTCTTCCATGTGTCACTATTGTGTGTGTGTGTGTGTGTTGTATATCTGTGTACACTCACACATGTACACATGTTCTGAGGAACAGAATTAATGGCTTTTCATTCAGCAAACTAAATGCTAACTATATATTTAAAAGTTCGTGTGCCCCATTTTTATGGAGCTTTCAGTCAGTGTCACGTCCGATTCATCGTGGGGAAAGACTATAAAATGCATTAGAATTTTTCTCATGGCTGTGGCAAAACATCTGACAAAAGCAATTGAAAAAGGGAAAGGGATTATTTTGGTTTACAGATTAAGGACTCATTACATCAAGGGAGGGTAGTCATTGTGATAGGAGAGTTAGTCAACAGTTGGCCACATGATGTCCACAATCAGGAAGCAGAGAGGGATGAAGCTGGTGTTTCACTTGTCTTATTTTGCTGGGTTTTTTTTTTTTTTGTTTTTTTTCCTTTTTATTCCTTCTGGAATTCCAGCCCATGGAATGGTATCTTTTCCCACCTCAGTTATCCCAATCTAGATACTTCCATAGACATGCCTAGAGGTCTGTCTCCTAGATCCTGACAGCTTGACATCAGTATTAACCATCACAATATGTAAGTAAGTAAGTAAGCAAATAGAACATTGTATCTCTTGTAAAATCACAGTGATCTGGATAGGGCATTTCTTAGCTGGGAGTCAGGGAGGCAAGTGAGAAGAATCATATATTAGAATATGATTTTCTTCTTATGAATGGGGATCCCTATCCATTACTTTTCCCCCTTCCCTTCTCTCTCTTGCTCCATTTCTGCTTGCTTTGGCCAAAAGGTTTTTATTTTTTGTATTATATATAAGTATACTGTAGCTGTCTTCAGACACCCCATA